GCACTGGAACAGATTGTCCAGGGAGGTGGTGGAGTTATCATTCCTAGAGGTGTTCAAGAAACATTTAGGTGTTGTACTGAGGGACATCGTTTAATGGGAAATATTGGTGGTAGGTGGACGGTTGGACTGGATGATCTTAGAGGTCTTTTCCAACCTCAGTAATCTTATGACTCTATGATTCTATTATTTTTGCACATGTTCTGGTACACATGAAAAATGGCACTATACATTTGAAAAGAAAATTCTGTCTCATGTTGCTTTTTGAGCTTTTAACACTTGCTCAAACCATCACCACCGAAGAACCATCCGCCTTTCATGGCATACAGTGAGCTAATGTGAAGGTAGCACAACTTCATTTGGGTCCCTCTGCATACGTATATTGTGCATACATATATCCAGTTTTCCCCAGTGAACTTAAAATTCTGAGTTAAAACTTTTCTGCCACAAACAAGATAAACAAGTTCATTACAGACTGAATTTTTAAAAATGGAAAAGTATTGTTAGTTAATGTTTACCTGAACACTTGATCAATTGTCTTAAATTTTACAATAATTTTGTCCTTACTCTTCAAAAAGAATGCTAGAGCTTTAGAAATACAAAATGAATTTAATGGTAATGCTGGAGGAAAATCGGAAATGAGAAATCTCAGATTTCTTTAGCCCTCTCCTTATAAGAAGCCTGTTTGCTGATTCAATTATGAGCAGTCCGAGCTTTGTGTGTTCAGCATGCTTTTAGGCCAGATTTATGACATGGTAAGAAAAGGATCTGCTCAAGAGCCAAACCTAAGGTAGTTCTGTTAGCTGTATTTTAATTAGTATTGCTTTCTTGAAAGCCCTAAGACACCCCTGAGTGCTTACCCATACTTAAGTTACTCTGTATCTGTGAGACTGGAGCAGTAAAGGAAGAGAGCTAGGAACATTTAATGATCTTTAAAACATCACCTAAATCACCAACCTCTTAACGAAATATATTTAAGGTACTTGAAGTCTGATGCTGATATTTTAATAACAAAAGTGAGGGGCCATAACAATTTCTAAGGAACACTGGAGCACTGAGCAGTCTGCAGTGACTGATGTAGAGGGCTGACTGACATACAGAGAGGAAGTTCTCATTTTCTGTTGACTGCTAAATATAGATATTCTGATTTTGTTGGTTTCTTTTTCCTCTTTAATATTTGTCCAAAGGACAAGAAATTTGGACCATCTGACATTTACATCTGACTCAAGTCCTGTTTCCTGGATGCCAGCTAACATCTGGTACTGTGATGGCTCAGCCCCATTTACCTCATTGGATCAGCAGTGTGTATTACAACACTGGGAGCTTTCTGAACTAGTGGAAAAAACATTGTAAAAAAACAAAACAAAACAGTTTGAGAGACTGCAGGAAAGGGGGGGGGGAGGGGGGGAGGCTGCAGTAGAGCAGTCCTGCCAAACCTGGATACTAACAATTAGTTCATCCTGTAATCAGTATTAATCCTTAATATAGTATAGATATTCCAAGGTCAGCAATGGAAGTTTAAAAAGAGACTCTGCAAACTCCAACTGTTCCCTCCTGGATCTCCAAAGTGTAAATCCCAGTTACACCCATCACCAGTCCTGGCAAAAGATAGAGTAAGACTCCCCAGAGACACGCTGTGCTACATGGTCTGTTAGCAGTGAATACCTTGGGAGATGTTCATTCACCACATCTGTGTTAGTTGTTCTGCAGGTGCAGGAATACATAGCACACACAAGTCTCTATCCAGCCCTGAGCCTTTCTCCTCACCTTCTTCCTGTCTGCAGATTGTCAGCAGGAGCAGAGGCAGCTACGGCTCTGGATCCTACATCCTGTAGATTGGTGTCACACAGCTCCTCATGTGGCTGAGAGAGCACTGTCGTGTCCAGGCTGCTCTAGCTAGTGCCTGCCAATATCTTTTTTTTTCTCTTTTGATTCTTTCCCTTTACTTCAGTTGTAGTCCCCAGGTTTTCTTTCTTGCTTCCTTTTCCGTTCCAAGGTTATTTTAGGGTTTGTCTGCTCTAGAATCGGGAGAAAATAAGATTTTTTGTTTCACTAGTTATTACTAGTTCTTTGTAACTTTCATACTGTTGAGTTGTGGTTAGCTTTTGCTTGCATATTTTTTTCTTGTATATGCATTGTAGCTAAATTCTTTCAAATTCAGCTGAGAGAAATAAAGCAGGCTTTATAATGATATTTTTTTCCACCTGTTCTGTAAAATACTAATTTTTGCATGTGTACGTTTCCTGTTTCCACATTTCTGTGCTTGTAAATAAGTTATGATCACCAAAGGAATATTTCTGTTGCTAACAAGAAGCACCTTGCTGTCTTGTGGTCTGATATAAATTATTCATTGTTTTTCATGTAATCTGCTCTTGATCACAGGAACTTGTTTTCTTACTTCTTACAATAGCCAACAAATCTTCCTATGTGTGAATTCTTCAGAATGTGTTTGTGCACTGTAAAATTTTTAGCTTTTCTAATTTATGAACTATTTATTTATTTATCTATTTATTTCAGGGGGGAAGTGGCTGAGCTCAGTATACAGCATTATATAAACAAAACTACATTATTTTCTGTATTAAATTAGCATAGTAAGTACTGTCTCTCCACTATATCATTCTGCTGCTTAATTTAACAAGGCCTTGAGACATGCAGAGCTCAGTAGGCATGATGAAAATGTAACATGATAATAATAATTGCTTAGAAGAGAAAAGTGACAGTAGATCTAACACAAAATTGACATAAATTCATGGGTCTTAACTAAAAATGCCTGTTGCTCAAAAATGAAATTTTTCTAAACACCCATTTACTGCATTTACTATGCATTCAAGAATAGAAACTCATTAATGCACTGAAAAGCAGTGGTAGAGTTGATAGAGGAAAATGGCAGAAGCTGAGGTTGCACAAGCATGCTGTTCTGGAGTTGGGAAGAAACATGAAGTCAGCAATGTTGTATGTGATGTAACACAGTAGTAAAGAAGTCAGAAGACAAGATCCTCTTTCAGCATCTGATGTTTGTCCCAGTTCTGTGTCAGTAACAACTCCTTCCCTACAAAATACCCTTCTCTTTTCCTCCTTTTTCCCAGAACAAAATTTCACATTTTCCTGATGTTTTTCTGATTTTCTTAGTGAGAACTTCCACACTCTGGATTTTTTTTCTCTGACTTGGAATACTTGAGTTGCAGTTATTTCTCTTTTAATTCCTTTCTGTTTTAAATACTGTAAGGTAGTTGAGTACCAGTCATCATGTAACTGATGAGGGCTGGAGCACCTCTCCTATAAAGAAAGGTTGAGGGAACTAGGCTTGTTTAGCTTGGAGAAGAGAAGGCTGCAGGGAGACCTCACTGTGGCCTTTCAATACTTGAAGGGAGTGTATAAACAGGAGGGAAATGGCTATTTACATGGGTTGATAGTGCGGACAAGGGGGAGTGTTTTTTTTAAGCTGTGACATGGGAGATTTAGGTTAGATATTAGGAGGAAGTTTTTCAGACGGAGGGTGGTGATGCACTGGTTGCCCAAGGAGATTGTGGATGCCCCATGCCTGGAGGCATTCAAGGGCAGGCTGGATGTGTCTCTGGGCAGCCTGGTGTGGTGGTTGGTGACCCTGCACATAGCAGGGGAGTAGAAACTAGACAATCACTGTGGTCCTTTTCAACCCAGACCATTCTATGATTCTGTGATTCTGTTATTACTGTTCTGGCAGCTCACTGGGATATTGCAGTTCTACAAACACAGACAACATTTATTCTCCAAATCAATGGCCACGTACATAGGTGAAATTGTTGGACATGTATTTATCGGTGATGTGGATTTTGGGTTTTCACATCTTTTAAAAAAATTGTTCCTAACTGCATAGCCAGGGACTTATCTTACAAATTTTGCTAGTTTTGATAAACTAATATTCTCTGAGAATTGATTTCAAAGCATCTATTTTTGATGATACTAAAACCAAAATGGAACAGAGACTTACTGTCTTGATTTGAATCACTTAGAATAGAGAATAAATATGTTGTTTAGCATTCCCCGTGAATCAGGGCAGAACAAATCTTTTGTGGATTCTAATCTAACTCTGAGACATTATTCCTATAACACAACTAGTAGGCTGAATTATGTTCACTTCCCTATGTCGAAGCTTATGATTTATTCAGTTTCAAGACTGGAATAATAGAACTTTGTACTTGTGCTGCTTGTATATAAATCTTTACTATACAAGCCCAAAGTAATGGATATAGCTGATGTTCTTTATTCATATTCCTTTCTGCCAACAACAAGACTGTATCAGACAGCATGTGCTAAACCAGAACAGAGGTGGGGATTAAGTGATTATGTGGCTTTGGAAAATTGTACAAGTATGGTTTAAAGGATCACTGATATTTAGAGGAATGTGTTTTGACTACAGAATACTTTGCCTCCAAATCTGCCAAGCCTCCTGTAAAATTTGAATACAGGAATAATACAATGAATGTAATAACACTTTATACTTTCCCTTTCTGTGCAGTGGACATGGCACATATTTGCTCTGCAGCTGAGGTCAGCAAATAAACACTGATTTGTAAAGCCTAAATGAATAATTTGAAACTGTTACTCGTGTTGTCTTAAAGCGCTGAGGTGCTGCAGTGGGATTTGGCCACAATTGTAGCAGCTCCAGAAGGACAGGACACTCTACTCTTAGGTTTCACGGATAATGGCTGGCACAGAGGGTAGAAGTTGAGTTCAATTACAAGCTGTGGTGGGAATTGGTCCAATGAATGGAGAATGCTCTGCCTGTGTCCTTCAAGCTTTAGATTCCTTCTGCACCATCTTTGTATCCTGCCCCACAATGAATCCTTTTTGGCTGGCTTCTCATATTAGTCCCTTTTTCCGGATGAGAAGTATTCAGGACAGCCCTGCTAAGGTTTTTTAATGACATTTCTATTCTTCCTGACTTTTAAACTGTAGCCCTCAGACAGTCTTCAGGGCTTTTTCCTCACTCTATATATTTGCTCTTTTTTCTTTTGTAACAGAGGTATGTTGACTCTGTCCTATTGAGGCGGGTGAAAAAAATGATGGCTGTGACAGAAAGGACAAGCTTCTTTCAAGTCTTTTTTTTAAAAAAGGTAAGAATGGAAAACCTTTTCAGTTGAAGTCAGCTTTTTGTTGTTAATCTTTGGCATGAGGAGGTGGAGGCAACCATCGTTTTCCTCAGCAGTGTTATAAATGCGTGAGTAACTTTGGCTGATTTGGCTGATGTATAAGGCAATCTGGGACAGAATTATGACTTTGAAAGGCTTTATGCAAAACCCTTGTATTTTCTAGAAGTGCTGGATAGTTATAAATGTAGTCCAATTAATATAAAAATAGAAGAGCATTAGACTGTGTTGCTACCTGCCTTTGCTCACAGTGCTTTTGTAGGAGACAGAATTATGTCTCAGTACTCTCATTTTTGTGTTCATCACCTTTTATAACTTGTTGCTTAATTTGTTTAGTATTTATTATGCTAAAATTAACATTAATTATGCAATAATATGAATGTAAAACTTGTTTCTGTGATGTAACAGAATTGCTTGTGAGACATAATTTTATCAATAGCCGTTGCCCAGATAAAATGTACTGTATTACTGCAGTCCTTAGTTATATCTTTATTTCCAGTGTGTGACATGCAGTCAATCTGTCATGTACTGGGAAGTACACTAATATATCAAGGAATGTGATGGGATAGAACCACAGTACTGTGCCAAAGCACAGGGATACCTGCTGCCTTGCGCAGCCTAATGAGAAGCAGTCTGTAATGGTGATATGTTATCCTCCCATCTGGCTCCCATCCGGCCACATCCGTTTTGTAAGTCATGCAGTTATGTCATGAATCCAAGTAAGGAATTACTTTGAAAGAATATCTTACAAGCTTCTTTTGGTATGTTTCAATTTCTTACATAGAATCTGAAAAATATTCTAGTATTGACAAATTACAAGATAAAAAGGCATGATAAAGAGGGAAATGCATCAGAGAAAAGCTGCAATGGATTTCTGTGACGTAATTTCATATAATTTAATCTATGTTCTTTAACTGTGATTTAATGGATAAGAAGCAGTGAGCTTGAATTTCAGGAAAAAAATATCCAAATTATTAATCAGAAAATATTTGTATCAGAAAGGACGAAAATAGATTGCCAGGAAGAGCGGTACAATCTTTAGTATTGGTGTTATTTAAGGAATACATTAGACACAGAATGTGTCAGAAAGAATTGAATACAGGCACCTGGCAAGGGGATAGAACTAATCAGTCCTCTCTCTGCCCCCCCCCCCAACCCCCACCCCCCACCCCCCACCTCCTCCTTTCCCTTTTCTTTTTTTTTTTTTTGGTCACTGGAAGCTATGAAGGCACTGAAGAAGTAAAATGATAGCATATGTAATATCTTTAGTTTCACATATGGAAATACAGGCAAAGACTTTGCACAAAACGTGATGGGAAATTTCTGTGCAGCTCCATGGAGATTTTCATTGAGCTGATTCCTCAGTATTACACATTTACAGATTAATTACAGAGTCTCAGTAATGAACTAGAAAGGAGATAAATAGACAAATGTTAATTAAATGTGGGTTTTTCTTATTGTTAAGGAAAATCCACTTTGAACTCACTTAAATCTGTTAAACTCCTTAGAAAATCTCAGTCCCCAGAACTATTTTATAACTAGCTAATATAACTTTGAATATAGGGAAGGAAAAAGTAGCATTACACTATGGATTTTCTTTTCTGCTATTATCTTCTTCAACAGGTAATTAATTTGTTAAGAAGGAATTGGGGTGCCTAGTGGACTTCCTCTGAGGTTAGGCAGTGTATTTGTGTTTTCTGTCTTATAACCATCTACCATGTGCTGAAATTAAGAGTTCTTGACCTCAGAAGTTTAAAAACTGGAGAAAAATCGAAACAAACGGAGTTGTTAAAGACGTACATTTTTACATGTGAGAATTTCAGAAAAGCCTTAGGGGATATAATTATCCATTTCTATTCAAATACTGTGTAGATTCAACTGCATAACTTCTTTTAACAGATAAATCCCAGAGGTTTAGGGCTGCTCAGTAGTGGAGTGGCAGAAGAACCTGTCCTATTCTCATATGGAGTAGTGTAAGATTAAATATTTCGAAAGCAAGTTAAACCATTATTTCCTTTGCTTGGCAGAGTCACAGGGCCATTCAGATTCACAGACTGCACGCAGTCAAACCCCACCACCTACTTTCTGACAATGCTTCATAAAGCCTTAAAGTGTAGAAGCTCCATTCCAATAACACTGAGATTCAAGTTCATTAAAAACACACATTCTTAATTCTTCAAAGGAGTATTTTTTTTCTCTTAAGGACAGAAATGAAAGAGCTGTAAACTAACTGTGAATGTGGGTTACTAGCATTATGATAACAATTTTTTAACCTTATTGTCTTTCTTGGAACCATTTGTGATTTTCCCCCAAAAATATGTGCTGTGAATAACCGTGAAAATGTTATTTCAGTTTCAAAGAGGGAAGGCTGCAAGTGTCAAGTGTATCTCATGAATATTAATTGAAATTGAAATATTGCCATTTATCAATACTTGTGCCTCAAAACAATTAGCATGAGACTTTTAGTATGAGTTTTCTACAAAGAACTGCTATCAAGTAGTTAGTTTCTCCGTTCTCAGAACTGAAACATTTTCCAGACCAGATTGTATGGTAAAGAAACTACAATATAACTGAAATATATGGTTCTTGGAGTGTGCTAATTATGTTTTCACTGGCTGCAATCTCAGAGGTACCCATTCTGATGTTCTGCTGATAGGTTTATCAGCATTTCAAGTCAGAGTTGGAAAATAAATCCTAAGAGAATACAAGTACATCCAAGGCTTTTTGCTCTGAACTTTGTTGAAGGCTACCACCACATTAGTGAAAGTGTTGTTTGTTCAAGAAAATGTTTGTCATTATAGGACCATTATGCCCTGAGAACTTCAGGGAAGGTCTCTAGAAAGGAACTTTCCTTCCCTGCTTTTGCACCTCCCTTTGGCACATTGTCCCTGAAGAACCTCTGGAGGCAATGTCACAGAATAATGTGGTTCTGTGACATCTTTGGCCTGTAGATCCATGTTAACATTAAGACTTAATTTTCTTTGTGCATTCGGCCAAATTTGTGTCTAGTGCAGAGGCAGCAGCAATGACATGACTATTAAGTGAAGCCAAATGAGCCTGCAGTATGCAGTGGCTTTTTTTTCCATCATCTCTTTTTACTGCAGGTGAATGAAACACAGTTTTTTTTACTTAAATACAGTTTAAATTGGTTGTTATCATACTGATTTCATCTGGACTAGTAGCAACATGGAATTGTAAGTGGGCATCTAAAAAGTGTACTGCCGGTAATTTTAATTTACAAATGGTCCAGTTAAGAATTTCTTATCAAGAAAAAGCTCCTGTCAGGCTTCAGAGTAAACTGATCCTGAGCATCAGGACATCAGCATGTAGCCAGAAATGATGAAACTTGTCAAACATCCATATCCTGTGTATTGGAGAAATGATGACTTAAATCCAGAGGGAGATGTTTTAAGTAGGAGGGCTGTTAGAGTTGCATCAACATGAGGTCTGCAGGTATTTTAAAAGCATCAGCATTAAGCTGACAGGAGACATTATGGAAAGTGATTTGAGGGGGTGGGATATAAGTAATAGGAAAGGAAAGAAGTTAACTGAAATACAATTGACTCCCAAGGCAGTGAGAATTATGTGCATTGGAACTGGGATGCAGCAGTAGGGTTTTCAGCCTGGTGGTTAGCAAAGTTACTTCATAGTCACAGTGACCATTTAAATTCCTTTAAATGAAGTTCAAAGCAGAGAAGAAAAAGCAACAGGGTAAATGTTCTGTTGGAGTTCATGACAGAACTGTTAACATCCCATCTTCCCTCTGTATTCTAGAGCCCTGCCACCTTGCCATTTCTTACATGACCAATATCATACACCCTGTATTGCCAGTTTACTCCATTTGGTCAGGCTGATATGTCATCTCTTGGTTAACCTTGATAAAGCAGCCAGATTTGCAAATGCGGAATGTCAGTGAGCTCTGATTTATGGCTGCAAAGGCTGTGAACTGCCAGCTTTGTGGAGAAGTGGGTGGGGACCAAGCAGAGATGGTTCCTGTATCTTTTCAAAATAGGAACATTTAGAACAGATAATTTTAAAAACTTAGATGTGTGAAAGTGTATGAAATATTGGAGAAAGGTGAGAAAAGGGTAACAGTAGCATCTTAACAGATGTAAGTATATGTAGTTTTGTTAAAAGTTCTTGATTTTTTCCAGCTAAGTATCTAACCTGGTCTCTTGCTCTGGTTCATGATGTCAGTCGTGTTTTATTTCCACAGTTTAAAAATATAGTTTAGATTCCTCAGAGACGTTTAGAACTATAATGCTATAGTAGAGGGTAATAAATGGCTAATAAGATAATCCACAGATATGAGGGCTTTTTAAAACTGTATACAGATTATGCTTATATACCTGCTTCAGCATGCCATAGAGTGCTGGATCTGCCTCCTCACTTTGTTAACCAGAAGAACAGCATACAAACACTGGAGCCAGAACTGGGCTTAAACCCTTATACTTTTCTCATTTCTGTGCTGTGCATTGAGGTGATTTATTTGGACTGAAAGCGTAGGATGTTAAGGAGACTTGGCAGAGCAGCAAAATAGACTCTGTGTTTGGGGACTTCGCAGAACTGTTTGGTTTTGAGTTTTTCTCATCTTGAAAATTTAAATTCTATTCATCATAAAATTTGTTTAAGTTCTAAATGGTTATGCTGTCTATTTAGGTGTATCTTCTAATAGGTCTCATATAATCAGAAGTGAGTGAAGACTCTTCCAGTACTCATTTTTACGTACTGGAGAAAGTATCCCAAGAATACTGGAAGCTGTTGTTGCTCAGAGGATAGCATACTGGTGAATAGTTGTTCTGAGCACATTAATGTGTGGCTTGGTTGCTTACTTGGTATTACAGACATATTTTTTGTTCTGCAGAGGATACCTGGAAATTATATCCTATTCCATCTTACTTGTTAACCATGCAAACATCTAAGCTTTGTGAACAGCAGAGTTGGTTTCTCTAAAGAGAGAGAGAGAA